GTAATAACCAGCGCAGAAAATTACCAAATTTTTCTTTTTGGAGTAAAAAAACGAATCCAATTAAACTAGTATATATAGTAGCGAGCCATGAAATTCGAACACCGAACCTTCAAGAGCTCTTATACAATATTCGAGAATTAATATCCCCATTCAGTTACATATTTATGCATTTCGCCTATAAGTAACACAGTGGCATTGAAACAAAAAGCGCGTAACTAAATGGAAGCTCTCGAAGCGGGGGTAGTGGAAAAATTAAAAAAATGGAGGGTGAATGAAAGACGTATAAATGATTACAAGTAGAGGAAGAGGAAAAAGTAAAACGGTGAATTTTTATGAAGAGTGAGTGCTGCGGCGGTGCGGTATAGATACAGGAGGGTTTTTAGTAATCTTTTGAAACATTTCTCTGGTGGTTTGTTCTTCTTTGTTTAGTTTTTTCTTTCATAAAGATTCATACTCGAATATATAAACGCAGAATGGAAAAGTGGAGAGAGAGAAAGAGAAGCTGAGGCTGAGGGACCAACTTGAGCACTCCAAACTCTCTGGTCTATTACTACATGGAGTACAGCCGCGCCTCAAGCTTGTACCATTTTATTTTATTCAGCTTCATTTACTCCCATCCGCTATTCAATTATCCACAGCACACAGCACAGGGACTTTAAATAGCTAAATTTATTTATAAATAAATAAATAAATAAATACATATTACACGGTTTATTTATTACGCATAATTCTAACTTGAAAATGCTATTAAAACTTTTTTATTTAACGGCGGTTATCAGACTGTAATCTTAAGAGTTTCGTTTATGAAAGTCTTCGTCAGATAGCGAAAAAATAATAGAGTTGCGATTTCTTATTATTATATTTTATAACAAAATTTTCGTATTATCTTCTTTGAGATTGTGAAAGACGGTCTGGAGAATTTTTTATAATTCACGTTTAATTATTAAAACTCCTTTTTATTACTTTTAAATGTCACACTAATTTTGGGAATTATTAATGAGAATTAAATAAACTTATAATTGCTGAATATTATTGATCTGAAGTCAACTTTTCTGCAATTAAAAGTTTATTAATTTTTCCTCATTAATGATTTAAAAAAATTTATGTTCTAATTTTACCAATATTGAAAAATAATTAAAAAACTTTAAAATTTATTATTTAAAAAATTAAAAACTGAGATTAATAATAAAAAAAATGTTTTTTAACAAAAATTATGGTAAATATTTACAAGAGGGGTAAATCATTTTAATTTTCATTTTTTTGAACGAAAAAAATGAATAATTAAAAAAAAAAAAAAGTGAATTGTCACAATTTTACAAATTTTCAAAAAAATTTATAAATTTTTTAGTAAATTGTGATATTCAACTTTTTTTTATAAATTGTTTGTTTTTTTAAATACTTTTCAAAAAAAATATATAAAAAACATGAAAAAAAGATAAAATAGAAATTTTATCCAAAAACATGAGAGCCAAAATTTTTTTCCAACTTTTGAAGGCAAAAAAGCTATCAAAATCTTTATTTTTTCTTTCACGAAATTTTTTATCATAATTCTTTATCTAAAATTCATAAAGTTCAAATAAAAAACTTCTGAATAAAACAAACTTCCCAAAGTAAGTAAAAAAATTTTTTAATTCACCAAAGATCAAATTAAAAAAACATCAGGGATGTGACTGAGTTACTCTGAACTCTGCGAAGTAGTATAAAACGAGCGTAGTGGGAGATAATTTCTTTTTATTACGTTGTATGTATTTTATAAGAAGTTACGAGTTGCTGTATAAAACATTCTCTTGTTAATCCAGCAACGTTTCGTTCTTTATTTGGTACTTCATCAGACTTACAACTCTCAAGCGAATCGTGTTTTGAATCAGTCCGATCCGTCCAAATGTTTTTTTTTTTTTTTTTGACAGCAACCTAGTTCTAACTTTTGAGTATTTCATCACCTAAATTTCCTCTTCCATTATTACCACAAAAATAAAAAAAAACCCCACCAAAATTCCACCCCATAACAATCATAATAACCTATCTAAAATTGTATTTTTAGTCACCGAAAAAGAACCGAACAAGAAAAAAGGTTCACTGTACGTGAAAGCATTTTTAAAATTTGATTATTTTCATTTGATTGATCAAAAGCTTCCATTTGGTTTGTTATTTACTGTATTTACCTTAGGTATTATTTTATTTAGCTTTTCCTTTTTCCTCCTTTCCATTTTATTTTATCTCACTGCGGCCCTCAGACAATGAAAACATTTTCCTCAGCTTATTTTATAATACACTGAGTAAATACGCTAAAATTCAAGAGGCTTTCGGTTATTATTAACAACTCTTAAAAATAAAAAAAAAGAATTTATCTTCTTAAGAGTCTCCAATTATAACTCCTCACCGCTTTGACCATTTTATTATTATTCTTCGTCAAACGACTGGGCAAATTGTCAAAGCGAGTGAAAGAGGATGAGTCACATCTTTGGAGATGTTTACATCGCTTTTCTAACTTTCCTAGCCAGCGATAAAAAATAGAGAGGAATGAAAGAGCGAGTTGGACTAAGGGCCAAAAAAGAAGAAATAAAGCAGTGATAAGGAAAGAAATATATTGGTTAAGCCGCAGTTCGACGTAACGGGGTAGTTTCTGATTTTAATTTCGAAGGAGCGCACGTACTAATTGGCTCGGGAACCTTCTGATCCAGTCTCAAAGCTCCCGTAGATGCTATACATCCAACTAAACCCACCACGTAGACTTCAGGTGAATTTCTCCCTTTACTTTCTATATATATATATATATATATATATATATATATATATATATATAGAAAGTAAAGGGAGAAATTCACCTGAAGTCTACGTGGTGGGTTTAGTTGGATGTATAGCATCTACGGGAGCTTTGAGACTGGATCAGAAGGTTCCCGAGCCAATTAGTACGTGCGCTCCTTCGAAATTAAAATCAGAAACTACCCCGTTACGTCGAACTGCGGCTTAACCAATATATTTCTTTCCTTATCACTGCTTTATTTCTTCTTTTTTGGCCCTTAGTCCAACTCGCTCTTTCATTCCTCTCTATTTTTTATCGCTGGCTAGGAAAGTTAGAAAAGCGATGTAAACATCTCCAAAGATGTGACTCATCCTCTTTCACTCGCTTTGACAATTTGCCCAGTCGTTTGACGAAGAATAATAATAAAATGGTCAAAGCGGTGAGGAGTTATAATTGGAGACTCTTAAGAAGATAAATTCTTTTTTTTTATTTTTAAGAGTTGTTAATAATAACCGAAAGCCTCTTGAATTTTAGCGTATTTACTCAGTGTATTATAAAATAAGCTGAGGAAAATGTTTTCATTGTCTGAGGGCCGCAGTGAGATAAAATAAAATGGAAAGGAGGAAAAAGGAAAAGCTAAATAAAATAATACCTAAGGTAAATACAGTAAATAACAAACCAAATGGAAGCTTTTGATCAATCAAATGAAAATAATCAAATTTTAAAAATGCTTTCACGTACAGTGAACCTTTTTTCTTGTTCGGTTCTTTTTCGGTGACTAAAAATACAATTTTAGATAGGTTATTATGATTGTTATGGGGTGGAATTTTGGTGGGGTTTTTTTTTATTTTTGTGGTAATAATGGAAGAGGAAATTTAGGTGATGAAATACTCAAAAGTTAGAACTAGGTTGCTGTCAAAAAAAAAAAAAAAACATTTGGACGGATCGGACTGATTCAAAACACGATTCGCTTGAGAGTTGTAAGTCTGATGAAGTACCAAATAAAGAACGAAACGTTGCTGGATTAACAAGAGAATGTTTTATACAGCAACTCGTAACTTCTTATAAAATACATACAACGTAATAAAAAGAAATTATCTCCCACTACGCTCGTTTTATACTACTTCGCAGAGTTCAGAGTAACTCAGTCACATCCCTGATGTTTTTTTAATTTGATCTTTGGTGAATTAAAAAATTTTTTTACTTACTTTGGGAAGTTTGTTTTATTCAGAAGTTTTTTATTTGAACTTTATGAATTTTAGATAAAGAATTATGATAAAAAATTTCGTGAAAGAAAAAATAAAGATTTTGATAGCTTTTTCTTTTTTCATGTTTTTATATATTTTTTTGAAAAGTATTTAAAAAAACAAACAATTTATAAAAAAAAGTTGAATATCACAATTTACTAAAAAATTTATAAATTTTTTTGAAAATTTGTAAAATTGTGACAATTCACTTTTTTTTTTTTTTAATTATTCATTTTTTTCGTTCAAAAAAATGAAAATTAAAATGATTTACCCCTCTTGTAAATATTTACCATAATTTTTGTTAAAAAACATTTTTTTTATTATTAATCTCAGTTTTTAATTTTTTAAATAATAAATTTTAAAGTTTTTTAATTATTTTTCAATATTGGTAAAATTAGAACATAAATTTTTTTAAATCATTAATGAGGAAAAATTAATAAACTTTTAATTGCAGAAAAGTTGACTTCAGATCAATAATATTCAGCAATTATAAGTTTATTTAATTCTCATTAATAATTCCCAAAATTAGTGTGACATTTAAAAGTAATAAAAAGGAGTTTTAATAATTAAACGTGAATTATAAAAAATTCTCCAGACCGTCTTTCACAATCTCAAAGAAGATAATACGAAAATTTTGTTATAAAATATAATAATAAGAAATCGCAACTCTATTATTTTTTCGCTATCTGACGAAGACTTTCATAAACGAAACTCTTAAGATTACAGTCTGATAACCGCCGTTAAATAAAAAAGTTTTAATAGCATTTTCAAGTTAGAATTATGCGTAATAAATAAACCGTGTAATATGTATTTATTTATTTATTTATTTATAAATAAATTTAGCTATTTAAAGTCCCTGTGCTGTGTGCTGTGGATAATTGAATAGCGGATGGGAGTAAATGAAGCTGAATAAAATAAAATGGTACAAGCTTGAGGCGCGGCTGTACTCCATGTAGTACGTACTATGTAGTATGTAGAATGTAGTATGTACAGATGTTAAGATCCACACAATGTTGAATAATCCCGACTTGGTACGGGCTTCGGGCGTGTAATAAGTGTGGCAGTAGGATGCGAGAAACCGTTAACTTCAACTGTAGTTATTTTAGCGATTTCCCTATATACTCACTAAATTACGGGTCAATCTCTCTTTAAATATTTATATTCATTCATTTTATTATTTATTTATTTATTTATTTATTATTATTATTATCATTACTAGCAACTTAGTCACTATATAAGTTTTTATATTTACAAATTATTAATAAATTAACTTTAACTTGATGATTTTTCGATGTTTTTAATCACAATTGCTATTTTAAGTTTAATAATTTGATGAAAAAATGTGACGCAAAAAATTTATAGAACCAAAAAATTATTCAAAACTTGAAACAAAAAATTTATTACCAAAAAAAAATATGAAGTTTTGAAAAGGCATAAATTTAGGTCAAGAATTTTCTAATGAAGCTAAATTTAACTATAAAAATCATTTTAAAATAAAAATTTAGCAGTCAAAAAATTTTCTTAATTATATTAATTAATATTTGACATTCAAATGTACAAAACAAAGTTAATAAATAAACAAATTTTATCTAGCGCATAATTTAAATCTGTTCAGTACTCTGAAAAATTATCATAATAAATTAACTATTGAAAATTCTACAAAAACTTCAAAAGACACAAATTCTAGTCAAGTTCTTTCTAATGATACTAAATTTAACTTTAAAAAAATTATTTTATTGTACAAATACGCAGAAGACAAAATTTTCATTACTTTATTAATTATTCAGATTAATTATAATAAAATCTATATTATTAAGAGAATAAGAAAAATTTTGTTTCCAAGATAGTCATATGATAAAATCGGTTTTTATAGTGAAATTTAGTGTCATTACAAAGGTCTTGATTTGAATTTGTGCCTTTTCAAGGTTTCGTATCATTCTCACCGATAGTTAATTTATTATGATAAGTATTTAGGCTGCATTTGAAAATGCTCTATCTCTAGATACATAATTAAGAAATGACCTTGTATCTTGTGAACTATTGACATTTTTAAAGATATAAGCTCACCCCGACATTACACTCATCGAGACCTATCATTTGAGTACCCACATCAATTTTTCATATATTTTATGTATTTATATATATGCATATATGAAAAATATATTTATAAAAAGATGTCGATAATTAAGATCTGACTTTGCTATCTTGTCAACTAATGATATTTTTAAAGATATAAGCTCATCTCGATATTACACTCATCGAGTCTTTTCATTTGAGTACCCACATCAATTTTTCATATATTTTATATATATTATATATATGTATATATGAAAAATATATCAAAATGCATGTGGGTACTCAAATGAAAGCTCTTGATGAGTGTAACATCGGAATGAGCTTATATCTTTAAAAACGTCAATATTTAAGAAAGTACAGTACAATTTAACAAAAGTTATTTAATAAAGCACAATTTTATTTATTTATAGTTAACAAGTCACGGCAGTCACATAGTGAGTGACTGCAAAGTTGCTAGTAATAATAATTGTAATAAGAATAGAAACTCTTGACTTATAATCTAGCTTAATCCAATCCCAATATTTTTTCAAAGTTATTCTTAAATTTTCAGAAACTTCAATTGAATTAATAATCAAATTACATTACAGTAAACCCAACAATAAAACGGTCCATTTCAAAATCTGCTGTAACAATGTCAATTCCTCGGTAATTAGGCTTATAATTAATGGAATAAGATCTTGAATAAAAAATTCAAATTCGACCCTCATAAGAAAATAAACGCAATAATCTATTTTAAGGATAATAATTAGCCTAATGGAAATGGAGTAATCATTAAATGCCCGAACGGAGAACGGAAAGGATTGGATAGAGGCAGAGAAAAAGTAACCTATTGATTTTGAATAAAATCTTTTTTCAGAGCCACTGCTGAGATCTCCAGGTCGTTGTCCTGCTTTAAATGAACAAAGCACATGTCCATCGCGAGCTGCGCCGTGTTCCAGCAACTTCGAGTGTTCCAGCTCGACGGAAAAATGCTGCGAGACGGTATGCGGACTGAAATGCGTCGCCAGCGAATTGACTGGATGCGAACAGCTCGCTTTGGCAGCCACCAGGCGGTCACGTGCTCTGGGCACACGTGGACCTTCCCAATTCATTCCCCAGTGCAACAATTTCACGGGAGAGTTCGAGCGAATCCAGTGCGAGGCCACGGAGAAAAACTGCTGGTGTGTTGATGAATTTGGAAGCGAGTTGCCCGGAACCAGGTCCGCGGGACGAGAGTTCGTTGATTGCAATAATCCGCGGCTGTGTCAAGCGCACTCCTGCCGTATGCTCTGTCCTCTTGGGTTTCAGGTAGGTAATTCACCAAAGTTTATTATTAAACCCTGTAATTGCGTGCTGCGGAAACCTGGATGATGACGCTCTTGCGCTTTTGTCTTCCTCTTCTTCTCTCTACTCCGTCGAGATTGACTTTGTCTAATGCCCAAACTAAAATACTAGAACACTAGAGAGAGGAGAGAGCTCTAGGATTCTTTGATATTAGTTCGCTCAAGTCTCTGAGAGTTTTTAACGGGAACTTTTAAGAAAGTCATATCGTTAGGGAAGGTTATTATCATTACATCGGCATTGATGTTATTACTCTATCTTTAGCTCTGTTCTGAGAACCAGAGATTTTGCTGGGTATTGTTTAATACCACTTACCGGTGATTGTTTTTCGATTTCAAAGTTTTATTCACTGGAAACTAACTTTCGGGATCGGGTATATTGGTTTTTCTCATACCACCGATTGTTCGATGTTTATTCTAGATAAATGTTATTATAGTCCACTTTATGTTATTATATATAATATTTTAGTAAAGTAAAATGTTATTTTGCTATATGTACTCAGAAAAAAAAATTCACTTAAATCAAAAAAAAAAAATACTTGAATCAAGAAAATAATTTTGAAGAGTTTTATTGTTCTGAATCAAGTGAAATTTATTTAAGCCAAAAAATATTTCTTAGTTTAAGAATTTTTCTATTCAAATCAAAAAGCTAATATTTTTCAAAGTTATTTATTTGATAGAAAAAGTTCTACTTTGGTAGTTTAATACAATTTTTAGTACAATTGATATTCAGAAAAAATTAATTGTTATAAATAATGTTTCAATTATTAATTTGTGATTTTTATTATTCGAATGCTTATTATTCAATAATTATACAGTAAGAATTAAATTTTTAATAATAACAACAGCTATTTAAATGTCAAAAAAATTAAAACTCTACCCTGGGCTTTGAATTACTATTTAAAACAATAAAAAGTTAACAAAAATTTTTATATATAATATATTCTATAATTTAATTTTTTTTTTAATTACTTTGATTTTTTTTATCTGATGAATTTTGAAATTTAAACAAAAGTTTTGATTTAAATAATTTTTTTGATTATTTAAACTTTTTCAATTTAAATTTAAATAATTTTTACTTTTATTAAAATTTCTTCTTTGGTTTTTTTATCTGAAATTTTACATAAATTGAAATTTAAACAATTTTTGTAAAGATAAATAATGTTGCAATCTTAAAAAAGTTTATTCTTTGAATATAGTTCTATAAATATTGTCTCAAACAATTATATAAAAGCTGCTACTTAAATTTCTACTTTAATACTTTTATAAAATCTATTAAAGTGAACTTTAACAATTTACTAATTGCACAAATATTTTACTTGAACTTCTATTTACTTCAATACTTTCATAACTTTAATCAAAACGTTTCCCAACAAGACATTCAAGTAAAATTTTTATCATCTAAAGATGTTTTATTAAAATTGTAAATTTAATCATTTCTACATAAAATTCATAAATATTTTTATTATTGTAAAAATAAACGATGCAATAATCTTAATAAAAATCCAATTTCTCTTCAATATGTTCAAATAATTTCATAAAAGCATTTACTTAAAAACTTCGGTAAAATCAATTTAAATAAATCTTTCTAACTTTGAAATAAAATTTCCATCCAAGTTTCAAGTAAAAGATCAATTTAATAATTTCTATAAAAAAAAAAAACGTAAATCAATACTTTCTAAAATTATTTTATTAAATTTTCTTTCCATTAAAATGTTAAATATAATTTTTTTTATTTAAAATTCAAATTTAATTCATTTTTTATAATTTTTCTAAAAATATTCTACTCAATAATTCATATTTTAACTCCATAGGTCCACCAGTAATTACGTAAAATTTTTCTTAAACTTCAATTTGAAAACTTTGATAAAATAAATCTTTCCAACTTTAAAATAAAATTTCCATTTAAAATTTCAACTGAAAGATCAATTTAATAATTTCTATAAAAAATACTTCAATCAATACTTTCTAAAAATATTTTATTAAATTTTCTTTCTATTAAAATTCACAATTTTTCTAAAAATATTCTATATATAATAATTCAAATTTTAACTTTACATGTCCAGATATTACCTCCAATAATTGCATAAAATTTTTCTGAAACTTCAATTTAAAAACTTTGATAAAATATATAAATCTAAATAAATCTTTGGAACTTTAAACTAAAATTTTCTATCAAAAGATTTAATCTATAAAACAGAATATTCTATCGACAAATTCTATTTAAACTTTGCCATCAAATATGCAAACTTTTCCCAAAGTAAAACAAAAAATAAGAGACCAGCAAGAGTAAATTTAATAAAAGTAAACTTGGGTGTCTTAAAAATAATAAAAAATTTTTTTTTAAACGAAACAGATAGACGAGGAGACCGGATGTCCGAAGTGTGAGTGCCGTGACCCGTGTCACAACGTGACCTGTCCAGGAGTAGGACAAACATGTGAACTAATTGAATCTTCTTGCGCGCGACCACCGTGTCCGCCGATCCCCAGCTGCCGGAAAGCGAAGTCCTTGGCGACGATCTGTCCAGCGGGAGAGCCGCTCCAGATAACGGACTCGCCGCGGCCTTTCCTCTGCGGTGAGAGCATCGGGAAGCCCTCCTGCCCGCCGATGTACCGATGCGTGGTAGAGCCGAATCAGGAGTACGGAGTCTGCTGTCCGTCGACTCTAAACTTGGAGCGACCTGGAAAATGCCCGCCGGAAGAGCCAGCTGTCTGTGGCCCGCCTTGTCAGCACGATTTGGACTGCTCCGGACCGCAAAAGTGCTGTGAGAGTGACTCTTGCGGCGGAGGAGTTTGTTTGCTTCCTGTCGGGCTGAGCGCCTGCCGCAAGAACCGGATGCTCGCCGAGATGCTCAGCGTTTCCGAGAAGCAAGGCCGCGGGTACATTCCTCAGTGCAACGAGGCCGGTGGATACGAGCCAAAACAGTGCTCCAGAAACGGGTTGGTATGCTGGTGCGTCCGCGTCGACGGTAAAAAAATTTCCGGCACCATGGGACCTGCTGCTGCTGTTAATTGTAATCAAGTTACTGATAAATCTAAAGGACGTGCTCTGCCCACCTCATGCCCACTCTATCACTGCGCTCAAGTGTGTCAGTACGGATTTAAAGTCGATGAAGCTGGGTGCTCTACTTGCGAGTGTGATAATCCTTGTGAAGGGTAATTTTATTTTTTTAGACAAATTAATTATAAAAAAATTATTTTAAATTTTTATTTATTTATTTATTTTTTAGTAATTAATTAATAATTAAACTATAAAATTTATTAATTTTTAATAATAATTTAATTATTATTAATAATTATTAAGGAAAAAAAAATTTTGTAAATATTTACAAGTGGGGTTAACCATTTTAATTTTCAATTTTTTGAACGAAATTCCTTATTAATTTTATTGATAAATTTTTTTTGAAAAATACATAAAAAAATTAACAATTTGAAAAAAAATAAATTTGATTATCACAATTTCAACAAATTTTCAAAAAAATTTATAAATTGTGATATTCTACTTTTTTTTTTAAATTGTTCATTTTTTTTATGTACCAAAAAAAAAAAATATGTAAAAATATCAAAAAAAGCTAAAATAGAAATTTTATCCATGAACATGAGAGCCAAAATTTTTTCCAACTTTTGAAGGCAAAAAAGCTATCAAAATGTTATTTTATTTTTTTTTCATAACATTTTTTATCATAAATGCGCCGTAAAAACAAGCAGAATCAAAAAAAATAATTAAAAATATTTTTCACCAAGTTATGGCCAAAAATAGGGTGAATCTTACTTGTAAATAATTGACAAAAATTTTAATTTTTAATTAAAATTTTTTTTTCTTTTCTATATTAACATTTTGATTGATAATTTTGTAACTCGTTGAAATTAATATTGAAGTTAAATTAGAAAAAAAACTCAAGATTTTTATGCTTTTTTTAACAAAAAAATTATTATAAAAAAGTAATTAAGTTGTTAATTTAAATTTGTACAAACTTATTACAAGAAAATCAAATTATATATGATTCATTATTCATAAAATATATGACAATTTCATTTTTAAATTGGATGACAAAATAAATAATTTTTAAATTATATTTAGAAAAAAAATTAAACTTGTGAATATAAATACACAATTTACTTACTTGAAATGTTTTTAAATTTGATATAAAATGTAATAATACACGAATTACATTAAAAGTGTAGTTTAAAAATTCTGTGAGTACCGACATTTTAATATAAGGCCACGACATACTTTTTTACATTTGTTTTATTAAAAAAAACGGAAAAAAAAAGTTAGAGAATGTCAGTTGAAAAAAAATTCCATGAATTATTTTTCTCGGCATTATATTTTCAATATAAAATCAGGCTTTGAAAGTTTGACAAAAAAAAAATTTATCTACATGTAATTTTTTAACGTGGTATTTTTATTCGAAAAGTTGATTTAATTTCATGGCAAACTATGTTTCAGGTAACTTTTTTTACAACCAGTAATTTTAATAATACAGTGTAATTTTAAAAAGTGGGTCAACTTGTACGACGCGAAACTTTATCTGGTTGTAAAGAATAGTAAAATTATCAGCTCCTGGATTTATTATTAGCAGTTAAAGTTATCATAACATAAAAACCGAACTCGGTATAAATATAAAATACAAGAGTTTTTATTTATTATTATTCTTATTGATATTTTTTTTTAGATTTCCTTGTCCAGCAGATCAAGAGTGTGTATTAAACCGCGAGAACGGCTGCCCGGATTTTCTCTGTCCCACGACGCCGGAATGCCGGGCAAAGAAGTCGTACAAGAGTCCCTGTGTAACTGGCGCACCATTAAGTGATGAGGGTGGTAATGCTGTTACTTGCACTGGTACAAACAGCACGTGTCCCTCGAGTCATATTTGTACCGCAGTCCCCGAAGCAGGCCAGTCTGTTTGCTGTCCAATGCTCCACATCCTGACTCCACCAACAAGTGAGTAATCAAAAGTTGTTTACCAACACAACTGCCAACAAAAAACACTTAACTTTATGCTACTCGCTCACTTCCATTCCTAATTTTAACTCCTGTTAACATTTATTCACGCTTTCAGGGTTTTTTTTTATATGCTACCATTTATTTGAATATTTATCAACTAAAATTCCAGTGCTGTAGTTGTATTAGAGTTATGCGCACTTGAAAGTCTGCAAGAAGATATTTTTAATTTATTATTTCCAAAGAGACTTTTTAAATAATTAATTAAAATATGGATATATACATCAGTATAATTTTAAACTTTATAAATAATTTTTTTTTTTTTTTTTTTTTTTTTTTTTTTTAATGACTTTTCTCACTTTTATAGAAGACCTCCGGGAGGTCTTCTAAAAAAAAAGTTATCTTGCAGTGAGCACGATATCTTCAATTTGAATCAAAGAAATAATTTAAATATTTATTTTTAACAAAATGTTCACAAAAAAAAGGAGCTTTCAATTATTGATCGAAAACTGTAATTTTAAATTTAGCTGTTCAGTTTTAATTTACAAAAACTGCAAGCTTTCTAGACTTCTTAATTTCTTATTACTTTAAATAAACAATTTGACGATTTTTTTCTCAAAACTTTTTCATCCATACATCTTCGCTAAATAAATAAATTTTTTTTATCAATTAAGAATAAAGTTTTTTCTTATAACAAAAATCAAAGGAAAATTAATTAGTGTGTATTAAAATGAAGCAATAATTGATCCTTTGATCAATTACTAAAATAAATAATTAAGAAAATTAGTCTAAGAATTAAAGACTGGTCGCTTTAGCCGCTTACAAGAAATTTTCTCATCGACTCTACAAAGACAGTTTACCAAAAAAAGCATTTAAAGTTTTTACTCTCAACTCTATTAATGCGCTAACGCTCCGAGAAAACTTTATAAAAATAAGTATAATTTTAAAAATACTTGTCGGACTGACATAAAATTCTGTTTATGTACTTAGAAATATATCTTTATTACAAAAATAAAATAAAAATTGATTTTTTTTTAATTTATTATGATAAATATTTAGGCTGCATTCAAAAATGCTCTATCTCTAGATAATTAAGAAATGACCTCGTATCTTGTGAACTATTAATATTTTTAAAGATATAAGCTCATCCCGATGTTACACTCATCAAGACCTTTCATTTGAGTACCCACATCAATTTTTCATATATTTTATATATATTATTATATATATATATGTATATATGAAAAATATATCAAAAATGCAAATGGGTACTTAAATGAAAGCTCTTGATGAATGTAACATCTTTAAAAACATCAATATTTAAAAAAGTAGAGTGCAGTTTAACAAATCTGTAGATACATAATTAAGAAATTACCTTTTATCTTGTGAAATATTGAGATTT